CCGTTTAGTAGTTTCGGCGTGATTGACGGACAAACATGGAAACAAAGAAACTTTCACATTAATAATATTATTTTCCTATTCTTACAATAATGAAAATCATTCGAAGTAGTGTTACAAAATTTAATTTGATCTGTCAATGATTTTTTAGGATAAAAAAACAACTTTACTTTTAACATTTAGAGTACAAGTTTTTGTTGGTTATAACTTAATAAATCAATATTTAAGTTAAAAACACCGATTCAATCTATTAATAATAAGACAAGTTGAATTACAACGTTCAATCATTGTTACAATCTTGGCGGGTCAACTAAATATATCAAATTGCATTATGATGATTTGGAAGTTCTTTAAATGAATATATTCGATTGTGTTTTATGGATTTCATTAAACGAATGTTGTAAATCGTGATATCAAAATTTATATGATCAATAGATTCATATAATTTTTACTATCACGATTCATTTGACTTATCAAATTTTAATAAATTTGAAAAGTCATTATATTAAATAATGTAACATCTGATCTAGTTATTCAAATATATTGTAAATTTTGAGTTGTCAATTTATTCCACAGTAAAGGGTATAAGCAAGCGATTAATGCAATAAAACAAAAGACACACAACTCGACTTATAAACTTCTTCACCCCGCAAATGCTGTACACAAGCACAGTGCCATCAATGATTTTGTTAAAATATATTAAGATATCAATAAGATATGAAGTGTTATCACGGGCATGCTACAAAATAAATACAACTTTCTGCATAATTTCAGTCTTATTTCTTGCGAAACGACGCCTCAGCGTGGTATCTTGTGTCAGCTTGTGTGCAAGAAGTTTATATATCTTTATATTTATGTTCACCTTTACTTGTGTGAATAAAATATTAGCAACAGCTTAGACCAGGGGTCGGCAACCTTTTGAGTCAAAAGAGCCAAAAGTTACAATTTACAACATTTTTAAGTTTTTAAAGAGCCACAAAATGTTTTTATGTCTACAATAAATAAGTAATGTAGTCCTACTCTCACTGACATCGACTTACTGCGCAGGACTTTGCTTATTGTGACCAACTAGGTTTCGCATTCTTAGAGTTCACTCTCTCTTCCTTCCACTCTCTATATCCGATGGGACGGTTGACCGACACGACCGGTGAGAGATCAGGCGCAGGACCGACGGCTTAACGTGCCCCCCGATGCACGGAATCAACTATTTTCGGTCAATCATGGTGATTCAATCACAATAAATAGTACTTGCATAAATAAAATAATTTTAATCTGTTTATTTATAAGACAAAATAATATTTATTTATTATATGAGTAGTTTTTTTCATAAAAAAATAAACATATTTATGATATTAATAATTATTTATAATACAAGTGAAAAAATAAAACAATTAAACATTTAGTTACAAAATTACAACACTAATTTGTACTTCAATAGCCTCGTCCAGACTGAGCGCGCACCTTTAGGCGAGGCCCGCCTCGCGCGGCATGCGCCGAACCGCTCGGTCGGTGTGGTGACTGTGGACTGCCTCGGGCGAGGCGGATGCTTGCTATGCCTCAGGCCAACGTGCCCGCAGCAGTTCACACTTACCGAGCGGGGCGGCGGCGCATGCCGCGCGAGGCTGCGAGCTCAGTCTGGGCGCGGCAGCAACAATCATACTGATGAGCAAGGAAATTCAATCGGCTTTGCCTGGATATTTAAAAATAAAATTTGAACTTTACCAAACAATGTAACTTGTAATTAAAAAAATAGAAACGAACATATATCTAAACAAACAAACTCAATAGGAACTTTGGCTTTGCATAGTTATTTAAGTAAAAAAAAATAATCTTTACTAAGACAACAGTAATGGACGACGGCGCGTATCGCGGGCGCGGTCGAGGGGTGCCGTGAAAAGCGGGTACAAGCAAAGACTATGTGGCTGAGAGATAGAAGTGGTGCTGAATCTTTGTTAATCGATTCAGAAAGTTTTAAAATGTTTTTTTTTTATAAAATAAATAATATTTGTGTTCGGAACTAAAGAGCCGCAGCTTCCCAGCCAAAGAGCCGCATGTGGCTCGCGAGCCGCAGGTTGCCGACCCCTGGCTTAGACGAATCAAGTCAACACAATGTCAAATTTCTGCAATAGATTTATCAACCTCTACGCTCAACGTATTAAAGTTTAAAATCGATTGTCGAAATTGGAGTTTTATAGACTGGATTGCTGTTGACTACTTACACGTTTTATATGTATATAAAACATTGGGTTTTCAATAAAAAATGATTTTTTAAGTATTTTTAAGAGTGCAATGAGATGCCATAAAGCTTTTTCTTGACTCATTACCATAGTAAAACCGAAGAGTACGTAGAATTCATCTCATACATACGCATCGAAAATGGTTTGTATGAGTGCACGCCCGTGTGTGTCGTCGCATGCAACACACAAAATTTATCGATCTTTAGCTTAAGGTACGAGTAGCAACTCGACAGTCGCGGCTTTGCCGCCGTGTCCGCGCATTCTCTGTGCCGCTTTACTACACATCTTTGACGATTGAATAACCCCTTCTCCGTTATTATGGCTATCTCTTTCTCATCCACAGGTTGACCCGATTAACCATACTAATAGTAACTAAAATGAAATTATCCACCATATGTACGCGTACTTAGCGACCATTTTACAAGGTGCTTGTGCCGAATCTTCCAGTTTAATTTTAATCAAAGGTGTGACCATAAGGGGCGGTACTCTACAAAATACACACTTTCGTATCTAATAATTTTATAATGCCAGTCTAACATATACTTTTGTTAAGTTAGACGCTTCTGGAAATGAAAACAAAACTTTACTTAACAGAGATTTATTACAGATTACACCACACTTTCCATAACTCATCTTAATTAAAAGTAAAACTTAGAAAAATGTTTACCTTATTAATTACAATAAATTCTACTAGGTATGCAATTTAGTTTTGGCAAAAGTCAGTAAACTTTGAATACATATGTAATGAAAAAATAACTATGACGTACATACAAACAATACTTCTAGTTTTCCCCCTCACTGCCAACCGTCTGAATCTAGGAGTACACATATACATAATTGTCCTGTGACGTCTGATACAGACATTCTTCTAGTCATTTATTTGACTTGGTCTCCATACATAATTCATGGAATAGTAGAATATAAAGAAGAATAGTACGTGATATACTATATTATGTAATCTACATACATTCATTTGCAATTGATTGCCAAATTCAGAATTGTTGCTAGCTGTTATATTACATCTTAGTATCAATTAATTATGATTAGTATTAATCTAGTATGGTCGCTGACGATCTCTGCCCCTAGAACAAAATAATTAGAATTATCATCAATAAATAAATTTCTACAAAACATTAAGTGGTCGAAGCCAAATGGGTCGCAATGAGCGGAGTTAAACATGTATTTTCTGTGTACCAAACGAATAGGGATGATGACTAATTTTTGTTTGTTTGTCCGTCAGGTAGTGTTAAAAAATATTAAACACGTATTTTTTTATTTTTTTCGTATTCATAAAATTACGGCGTTACATGGAGTTGAAATTTCGCATGACGTCACGTTATGGTACGTTTTCTACTCAACTGTGACGTAGCGAGCCCCCACTCCGCAACTTTAATGTCCGTTATCTAAGCTATTTCTTGTTAAATTGAAGTAAAAAAAATACGTATTTTAATATTTTTGACGGACTAAATAGAATTGCATTTTTTTACCCAGTCATCATACCTATTATCCTGCATGTCATTACAAAAGTATTATAATTTATGATGTAAAACATTAACTAAGGTAAATATAGTATCAACATCAGTTTAGAACCTACGTCAACTAGTGTTTCCATTTATGACATTTTACGAGACAAACGAGAGATAGTAATATTAAAATTAAATTCAGCTACGTTGTGTACAGCAAGAGCTTGAAGTTAAATTCAGAATTTCCCCAAATTTTCATGTTATGCATAAGCTATACCATTTTGCAACAGCTTTTTCAATTGATTAATTATTATTAATAAAAAATATAAAGTCACAAAACATTAATTGATTTCATTGTATGTGTTTTACTTATTGCACTGTATGTAAAAATAATGTTGGTTTTATTTAGCAATAATGCCTTTTTTTTAATACATTCCTCACAAAAATATGTCTTTTTTATTATACTCATTATTTGCAATAAGATAAATATTATAACTTATATATAATATCCCGCAGATAAAAAAAAAACTTCAAGAGTCTTGCCATTTCTGACGTTTTTAAGATAAATGTAATTAGCGATGGTATTCGGTATTTGGCATATTTGGCATCTCTTTCACTAATCCTATTCGACCGAGTTATTCGGTTTTGGTAACCAATTCGACCGAGTTATTCGGTTTTGGTAACGAAACCATACTGGTTCGAGTATTTCTATATTCTTGGCTACATGATACAACTAAAAGCCAAAACTTCTTATGGAATATTGATGTTACATTATAAGTCAAATCAATGTAGCATCAAATCATAAATATTTATTACATAAACAATTGTCATTAGGAAAAAATAATAGAGATCACAAATAAAATAAAAGGTAAGCAAAAATAAACATATTCATTTCTTCATATATTTAATTGATTAATGGTAAATTATGTCACAGAAACACCAGGCTTTCTCTGGCAAGAGTTTGGTTTTTAAAGACTTCAAAATCGAAAAGGAGGTCATATGTTCGACGGTGATGTATTTTTTTATGTATATTAACCGATTTTTCCGCGAATCGTTGAAGAATCCCATTGTTAATTGACAACTTGATAGACCGAGGTGGTCGCATTAAAATTTCATCATAATTAAATCAGGAATTTTCTGTTTATAACTAAACAAAATATGCTTTTTTATCAGATGCAAATAATATAAAAAATCGTCAATATCACTACAAAGCATGAAATATAAAAAAATAGAAGCAACTTTAAAAAGCGACTTATTCAAGAAACTGCTATTAAAGTCGGGCGCCTATCATTTAATTAATAACCTACAGTAAACCTCCGCCCCACTTCAATGGCAGTTTCCTGAAAAAGTTGCTATTGAGACAAATATTATATGAAATTGTATTCTTCATAGGTTCCCTGCTGCCGTAATCGTTGTTCACTATATTACAAGGTGCACTTAGAAACACTCTGAGTAAATAAAAATAATGAAATTGCAAACCGAATAAATCTGCCGATTATCTAGAGCGGTAAAAGCAAAACCTTACGGTAAAAAAAAAATATCGGTATTCAGCGAAACCACGATACGGCGCAACTCTAATCTACATTGATCAAGAGATATATTACGTAAGTATATTTACCCGCCATCTCCTCTCATAGCACCGCCGCTACCACGGTCCCCACCACCACCACCGCCGCCACCGCCGCCGCCGCCGTATCCTCTGCGGTCTCCGCCCCGGTCACCACCGCGGTCTCCTCGTCCGCCGCCGCCACCACCCCATCCGCCGCCGCCACGTCCACCGCGACCACCTCCACCTCTCGGAGGTCCTCCGCCACCACTGCGACCGCCGCCTCCACCACCTCCTGAAGGCGGGCCACCGCCTCCACCGCCACCGCCAGGCTTCGGCTCATTGCAACGGTTGCAATTCTTTCTCCACGAAAAATTGGTGTTTCCGCAGCTGGTATTGGAACATCTCCAGTCACCATCGCGATTTCCAGAAGGAGGTCCTCCCCCACCACCGCCACCGCCGCCGCCGCCGCCTCCCCGACCGCCGCCTCCACCACCGCGTCCACCGCCTCCACCACCTCGTCCACCTCGAAAACCGCCGCCGCCACCACCTTTACCGCCGCCCCAAGTATTTTGCCTTTGAGCGAGTGAAACTTTGATGGTTGCTCCGTTAAAATCTTTTCCGTCAAACCACTGAATTGCCGATGAGGCAGCATTGGAATCCTCATAGGTCACGGTTGCTTCGCCTTTGGGCTGACCGGTCGCTTTATCTTTATACATCCAAACTTTAGGACGTTGAGTCTTTTTATCAGTCTGTAAGAAAATAAAATAGTTTATAAAAATATTATAAATTTACATTTAAAACAAAATAAGCCCAACACTCTTTAATTGTGACAATAATTATAATGATTAAAACTTCTTGATAAAAAGTGTACCACGAAAATGATCATTTTCGTAAGTGTTCACGGGAACAGCAAGCATGGTTGGATTGATTTAAAATAAAAGTAGAACCTTGATAATGCCGATAGCTCCAAAGTGTTGGCATAATTCATCTTCAGTTGTTGAGGGGTTCATGCCTTGAATGAACACAGTGTCTTCTTGCGTGACCATATCACTTCCACCCCCTCGGTCTCCTCCGAAGCCACCTCCACCTTAATATACAAAATAATTATATAACCTTATACACACTCCAAAGTTTCATGAAATCGATTTAAAGCGACGGATATTTTGGAATTTCTATCGTAGGATGTATCTTGACCATATTTTTATGTATTAAAAATCACCTATATAATAATATGACATCAAAATATGAAATATATCACCAAAACTTTGGGTTGGGTTCAATAATTTCAAAATAAACAAATTATACCAAAAGCAATAATATGATAACGAACAAATCCCTGATCACTCGAGTAAATTCTTATGTGAAGTGGAATATCGATTATAAATTAAATGTATGTTGGTTCGTTTACCCAAAACAACTTTTTTACTATAAGTAAGTATACCTATCCATTAAGAGTGACTTTGCATTCAGAGTTACATTCCTAAAATGTAAGTATGAAAGAGCCTCTTCGTTTGCGCCTCAAATATTTATTCGGAAAAAATTAAAGAACAAACCAAAATAAATATATAGATCTTTCAGCTAAAAGTTAGTAAATCATCTCTGAATTTAGGGTATAGTATCCCTGATGTGACGTACCACTTACTTCCAAAGCCCTGAATAAGAAAATATGTGTACAAAATCTCATATTTTTCAATTTAAGACGTTTCCGAAGATACCTTATTAATATACAATAATAAATAAATAAATTTGTCATGTACCAAAATTTTGATTTATAACAAATTTTTATAAATACCGCATTGTTGGAAAGAGAAACACTTCGGCTGGTGTTAGTAGTTTAACATAACCCATAAATTATACCAAATGACAAATTATTTCAGAAAAAAATTGAAGGTTTCACCACGGATTTATAATACCACAAAGCCGTATGTACTCCAGATATTATTTATGTTCCTATCTGTATGGACGTAGGCAAAGTTGATGCATCCAACCAACCAAATTCACTATAAGTTGCCTTCCCAAATACACACGCGATAATGTAGTTTTAAAATCCAATATATTCAAACTTTTCATGTGTAACTAAATATTATTTACCCCATCATTTATTACCTATGTCCCGTGAAATAACATACTACAGTATCAAATTTATATGGAAACAATTTTGAAGCGCTAGAATTCTTCCGCAAAATGGAAATCTTTAAAATAAAATATTTGTACTATTAAGATTTTAGTCCCTATTTTTACAGCGTGAAAGCGATCAACAGTGACTCACTTGCATTTTTCGCATTAAGGACTGTACTTTCTACATACTCCATGTATAAAGATAATAAACGCATACCTATAGTGTGGCTTAATACACCTCGTATTTTACTTAGTTCAATATCTTTTTCTGCAACGACTGGTCATCAAAGAAAACAAAGCCTCCTCTATACGGTTTCCAACAGAGCTGGACGGTTGTTGCAAACCGACTCCCTTCGACGCCCTAAGGCAAAGCGTACCACCGTTGGACGCGTGTCAGGATTATTATCTTAAGTAAGAAATACTCAAAATTACAGAATGTGAACTATCACTTAGGGATCAAAATTACCTTTGTATATCAAAAACCACTTTAAAATTTGTAATAAGTACAATTTTTGTATCACCGATGTCTGTTAATCTTCTTTGATTTGCAGTATTGATGATAACTCGTGCTTTGTCTGGCACAAGCAACAGTGACTCAGGAGTCGGCACAGTAAGTTATAACAACTCTCGAGGATGCTTTGTGGAGGGATGAAACACGCGTACCGATACTTGCGGTTGCCAGGAACGTAACGCAAGGGGCATCAACGCAAAGTCTTCGTTTTTAATCGACAAGATATAGATAGGCTTTTATCAAATTGGAGGCGCTGACTAAGAGCGCCAGACACTTAAGCTACGCCACTGACACAAACTATAAAATAATGTTTAGTAAGTATCATATTAAAAGCGGAGAAATCCTAGCGCCTTTTTTGTCTTCTTATAATTTGCCTCACTACCTGTTATATTATAATATTATGCCTGTTATATTCATGGGATAAATAAATACCATTACGCAGCTTTCTTTACTCTTAAAAATATAATTATTACGACACCGATGTTCAATCATTCCGTAAATCATTTTATAACAAAACCTTATCGCTCAAACCTTAGGGCTGCCAAAAATATAGTGTTTCTGGTACCTAAACTTGTGATTTCTCATGAATCTAAAAGTTTGTAGTCATGGTTAGAAAGTAATAACAAAAGTTTATCTGTAAACGCAAAGCATGAAGAGATTACAATGCCTACAACCATGACTACAACCTGATACAAATCACTTAGTACCATAGTTTATTAATATTACTTCAGTATATATGTCGCAAACAAGTGATTTTAATCAGGAGTTCAATAGAGCGGCTAGCCCTTTAATTGATGGCGCCATACAATTAAAGGCCTAACCTTCGATCATCCGAGTAGCTGAACGCATACTTCTACAATATGGCTGAACAAAGGTCAATCATCTTATTAACTGTATAGGATTAAAAGTAAAACAAAATAAAAAGATATACCGCGATTCAGACGGCTACAGTGTCATCTATCGAAAATGAGAGTAAGCAATGTATTTTGCGATTGTTTCTGTATGTTTATAACAATTTTGAAGTTTGGTACTACAAAAGTTAATAACAAAAAAAATATGAACAACGAAGTTACTTTGGTCCTGTAGGTCACGTGATCGTAGCGATCATATTAAATTTCGAGGTTATTTTTTTAACAGATAACACAATTAAATGAACATATTGGCAGCCTTTAAATCAGTAGATGGTTGATTTAAAGGCTGAACGGTCCAAATGTAAATGTAAATAATTGAACGGCTGATTTAACCAGTTGTTTGCGACATACAAACAATACCTAAAATCTACACTTGACGAGACTGCTGACAATAGAATTATGTTTAATTTAATCTGACATTACAGGAAAGTAACAAAAGACAAACCATAATCACAAGTGACTCAATTTTCCCCTCTATGTCTCTTGTGTGTAAAAAATATAAAGACAAAGTATATAAATAAACCTTAATAATATTCATACATAAATTCGGGATGGCCCAACACTGTGTAACACAAAGTTTAATTATACACACATCTCAACCATTGTATGATGATTGAAGATTCAGTCAATACTATAAATATAACCGTTCTATTACCTCTTTTGTATACTAGAGTATTTTATGGGAATCTGTTCTTTTGCAAATTTTTAATACCAATTGATTATACCGTAAATACGTTTTTACGCTTTTAGTCAATTACGTATTTACATTTCTAGTACGAGATCCCACTGTTAAAATCTGCAGTAATCCGTTTTTTTATAAAACTTATTTTTTATTATAGATCTAAGATAGTATAATATCTATTCTACTATCTTAGATCTACGAGTATCATAAAAAAAATAAGTTTCATTAAGGAAACAGATAACTATACATTTAAGCAGTTGGATCTTAAGACTATTTACGACGTAGTTAAAACGTAATTTTTTCATGAAGACACACAGGATCACCAATTACATCATTATATATTTTGAAGATTGGGGATCACTCCATCAAGGAACGCATATTTATAAGTACCTAATAATATTAAGTCATAATAAATAAACCAAAATTTTGTCAACAGCCAAGTAGTGACAACACTTTTTATCCTATATATTGGCAGCCCTTCCAATAAATACAAATTAATAATATGACAATAGCATCGCTCGCAAAATGCGAGGAGCTTTACCTTTATTATAACCACCCCCCCTGCCGCCGCCACTAAAACAATAAAAACAGCGTTTAGTACACTGGGCAGGCTGGGGACACTTGTACGCCGCACGCTGATTGACTGACACCTAGGTGGTACACTTTTATCCAGTGACCTCAGCCCAACTGTTGAATCCTTTCCTTTACCACAATGTTTATACCGTGACACCTTGAAAATCTTAGAGAACATTGTTGATGCAAGACATTCATTATAAATATTTTTGTAAATGCATGCTTACAGAGGTATGAGAAAAAAAGGCTTAATAACTATTTCTAGCACAATCTTGGAAAAGTGTACATAAGCGTTTTAGTTACAATACATCATATTTCAATAACTTCTTATAATAAACTTTTAACTGTTAAGGCGTCCAAAGCTACATAAAGCTTAAATGAAATCGGAGAGATCAGATAAACAAACGAAGCCATAATAACGAATAGGGATTTTTGTTTGTTTGTCCGTCAGGTAGTGTTAAAAAATATTAAACACGTATTTTTTTCGTAATCAAAAAATTACGGCGTTACATTGAGTTGAAATTTCGCATGACGTCACTTTAGAGTACGTTTTCTACTCAACTGTGACGTAGCGAGCCCCCACTCCTCAACTTTAATGCCTGTTATCTAAGCTATTTCTTGTTAATTTGAAGTAAAAAAAAATACGTATCTAATATTTTTCTATTATCTGACTGACGGACTAAATAGAATGCATTTTTTTTTACCCAGTCATCATCCCTATTATACGATATGCTCGACGATATATATATCCATTAATATAATAAATAAATAAAAATAAAAAAGCCTTTATTATTCCATTTGGCATGTGTACAGTACATGTTAGTAGGTTATCGTTAAGTATCCTCTAGTCTAATGCCACCTGGACCCCTCTACGGGTGAAGGCCTCCTCCAGAGATTGCCACTTAACACGGTTTTTTGCCAGAATTGGCCAATTTCTTGTACCGAATGATTCTATTTCGTCCTTCCATCTCGCTTTTGGTCGGCCTCTGCTTCTATATCCATGGGGACCACTCCACATAGTCACAGTCTTTGTCCACCTCTTATCAGTGTAGCGTGCCACGTGGCCCGCCCACCTCCATTTCAGGCCACGAGCGAAGGACAAGACATCTATCACACCAGTCTGCTTTCTTATTTTCCCATGGCGAACCCTGTCCTTTAGCTTGATGTTTAGTGAACTACGTTCTAAGCCTCTTTGACACGATGTGAGTTTTCTTCTGGTTATGTTATCAAATATCCACGTTTGACATCCATAAGCGAGACAGGGCAAGAGACATGAGTCCATTACTTTCTTTTTTAATTTTAAGTCCATGTTAGACTTCATAACTTCTTTGTAGCTCCAGAACTTTCTCCACGTGATTGCTATTCGCCTGTCTATTTCTTCTCTGTTGTTATTTTTTCGAAAGGAAACTTGTTTGCCTAGATAAATATATTCGTCTACATACTCAACCACATTATTGTTTATAAGAACAGGAGTTCTGTGATGATTAGACATGATTTTTGTTTTTGAGATATTCATTTCTAGGCCCACGCTCGTGCTTGTGTTGTTAAGTTCTGACATCATGGATTGGAGCTCTGTGGGGCTTTCTGAGAAAAGCACAATGTCGTCTGCGAAACACAGATGGTGAAGACGTTCCCTGTCGATTTTTAAGCCTTTGTTTTCCCAAGATAGATTTTTCATTGTGTTTTGGAGGACTGATATGAATAATTTAGGTGACAGTGGATCACCTTGTCTAACTCCTCTGTTAATTTCTATTCTTTGTCCTGAATTTTCTAACTTGACTTTGCTAGTACTGTTTTCGTAGATGTGTTTGATGATTCTGATGTATTTAGTGTTTATATTTTGATCATAAAGGGCATTCCAAATGCTTCGATGAGATATAGAGTCAAATGCCTTCTTATAGTCAATGAAAGCTAGATATAATGGTCTGCGAAATTCATAATATTTTTCAATTATTTGCTCTAATACTTGTATGTGGTCTATTGTGCTGAACGATTTTCTAAACCCTGCTTGTTCTTTTGGTTGGTAGTTTTCTATGTCATTGTTGAGTCTTTCCAGTAGGCAACTAGCGAAAAGTTTATATAAACATGGCATTATACTTATGGGCCTGTAATTTTCCACGTCTGTGGGGTCGCCCTTTTTATACATCAGTATTATTTCTGACTCAGTCCATGTCTTTGGAACAGTTTCTTCATCAAGAATTTTGTTAAATAATCTCGTTAAGGGGTTAAGAATCACTGGTTTTGCTAGTTTTATAGCTTCGTTTGATATCCCGTCGGTGCCTTGGCTTTTGTGCTCTTTTAATTTCTCCAATTTGCTTAATATGTCGATCTCTTTAAAGTACGGCGTTTCTTCTTTTTGATTTAGTCTAGGTGTAATTAAAGTTTCTATATCTTCGTGGTATAAGTCTTTAGAGGCGCTATATAACCGTCTGTAGAATTCTGTGGCGGTGTTGATCACATCTGTCCTAGTTTGTTGTTTTGGAGAGTTCGCATTTAGTGTTGGAATCCATTCCTTTCCTGTATTTAGTTCTTTAATTGCCTTTTTTAGACTACCGGAAGATTTTAGATGTCTCGTAAATATTGATTCCCTATGATCTTTGTAATTTCTTTTTATCTCTTTGTTGGTTGTTTTGAATAGATAGGTAAGTCTAGCTTTTTCATCCTGACTTAGGTGTTGCTTGTGTAGTAGTTGACTTCTCTCTTTCATTAGGTTTAACGTGTATTCTGAAAGTATATTTGGTTTTCGACGTTGACTGTAGCCTTTTTGTTTATTTAGGCAAGTTTTAATTATGGTTTCAATTTTTTTGTAATATGTGTTGACATCTAGACTTTCATTTCCTTTTTCGAAAAGGTCAGGTGCAGCGTTTTTTAAGTTAGCAATATATTCTGATCTGTCTTCTAATGTCTTTAGTTGATTTTTCGGATTAGTGAAATTTTTCCTACTTAATTTCGGGGCTTTTAATTTGAATGAGCCTCTTAGCATCTTGTGGTCTGTTGGGAAGCCGGTGGATATAGTTTCAAAATTTGTAAATGAGCCAGGAGAATTTGATAAGATAAAATCAATCTCATTTTTTGTTTTCTTGTCGGGAGAAAGCCATGTCCATTTTTTCTTCTTATTTTTCTTAAATAAGGTGTTGATTATAGTTAGATTTTGTTCATAAGCGTAATGAAGTAGTCTTACTCCTCGTTTGTTCCTGGTTCCATACCCAAATTTCCCAGTAATCAGCGATTCTTCCTTTTTTGGTGTGCCAATTCTAGCATTAAAATCTCCCATGCAAATCACATTCTTTCCTGCTAATTCATGGGCTAGCTGAACTTCCTGGTAAAATTTTTCCACTTCGTCTTCGCTAGCTTTTTCTGTTGGAGCATAGACTTGTATGAGAGTAAGATTATAATCATCAAATTTTAGTTGTAGTAAACATACTCTTTCTGATATTCCTGTGTAGTTTTCGATGTTGTGTTTAAGCTTTGTTTTTATTAGAAATCCGACACCGTATAGGCCTGGAGTTTGACCTGTAGTACATAAGATATGATCTTCATCTTCTGTAATTTTTGTTCCTAAACGTCGTACTTCAGCTAATCCTATTATGTCGTATTTAATATTTTGCATTGTTTCTTTCAGTTCAAGGAGTTTTTCTTTCGTGCCTAATGTCTTGACATTGTATGTGCAAATAAGTAATGCGTTAGTGTTGTGTTTTGACAATATATTTTGGACTTTTTGGTTCTCTAGAGGGTTATAGTCGCTTAGCCCCACGGTGACTAGCCGGCTTGGGGTGCAGTTTTTTTGAGTTGGTTCTGTTATAGTTGCAATTTTGTTGTTGTATCGGTTCCGGGCGTTGTCGGTAGTTAGTTTTTTGAAAGGCCGGATAATGAGGCTGATCTAGTACGCTCAACATAGTTCAGTATTCCCGGTTTCGCTATTGTGTTTGTACTCGTTTTGGTAGGCTGCGGTGCTGATTTGGTTTGTGTGGTAGTTTTCTTTTGTTGTGACTCGTTTGGTGAACTGGACTCCTCTCTTTTTCTTTTGTCTCGGCTTGTCTCTGAGTGTGTTTTCACCACAAGTTTATCATATTTTATGAAAGCAATGTTCCCCTTCTTCCTTTCTTCATCGGCTTGAATTTTTAATTGGCGCCTTTTTTCTAGAACCTCCTTAGGAAAGTCTTCCTTGATATAGATGTCCTGTGGCAAGTTAGCTTTATTCTTCATGACTAGGTGCTTTTTCCATAAGCAGGAGAAAGATACTACTACGGGGCGGTTTTTCTTCCCCGTCCAACGACCAATTCTTTGTACATTGGAGATCTCTTGACTGTTCAAATGTACACCTGCATCTTCTATCAAGTCTTTTATATAGTCTACCAGTTCGATTTCTGTTTTGCCAAGTTCTTGTATTCCAAAAAAGATGAGGTTGTTCTTGCGTTTCTCTTTTTCTGCGATATTTAGTTTCTGTTCCAAATATGTTACTTTATTTTTTAGAACATTGTTTTCTTCCATTAAGCCTGAAAGTTTTTCGTTCAAAACTTCCAACACATTATTTGTTACAGCAGTTGTTATGACTAATGTTTGTTGGTTTAGTTTTTCATTTAGTTTCTCTAACAATAGTGCCGTATCTATATTCATTTTCTTTTTTGGGTGTTTTAGTTTTCTTCAACTGACAACACTTGTCGGCGATGGTAGGTTAGTGCAAATTATTTTTCTTATACTGGCAACACTAGTTAGGTACTAATGTCAGGTTGATGTAAACTGTCAAAGTCTATAATCTATGCTCAGGATGACAAGCACTTTTGCAGGTTATGTTTATAATTGATTTGTGAGCACTTTCACTCGCGAAACTATTATTTTTCGGTGAATCTTGTTTTAACGAAATGTTCTTTGGTATTTATTTGTTTGATTTTTCAAATTTCAGTTTTTACACACTTGATAAACACTTTATGCACCTAATATTATTTTATTTTCGTGGAGGACGTTGACGTACGTGTTTACTATTCAGTGACCGGAACCGGAATCATTAATATAGATATATTTTAATGCAGAATCATTCAAAAGATTAACAGCATACTGTAAATGATGTACGGGGAGTTTTTAAAAATCTTCGTCTTCGATTTCAAGAATGCTAAGCAGTCGAGGGACGTAATTTAAACTGGTTAATTTTTTATAATCGTATTGAATGTCGTCATACGT